AGGGTCAATATGCCCCCATTTAATTATACTGTAATCATGGCCTGCAACAACCCAATTGTTGTCAGAGACACTTGATCTGTCATCAGCGATCCTCTAGTGTGAGCAGTGAATTGAACCGAACTGTCCTCAGACAAAATAATATATCTGACACCCGCCTTTTGTGATTGAGTTAGTTGAAATGCTGTGAAGTCAAGTATTTGAGCTGAAATGTTGACACTGTTCTGTTTCTTTGTTAGAACAGTAGGCAAACAAATAAAAGAAAACAGAGACAAAAGTGCTACGGCAGGATTTAGGAACATCAAAGAGCTCAAGGAAGTTAATTCTATTAAATACTTTAAGCTTCTTTTTTTAATAAGTAGGTGGAAGGGGAGGTAGTGATCCCACTCAGCGACATGTTCGTGATGAATGGTATGTGTGGATTATTGGTGGTTTTACGGTCAAATTCAATCAATATTATTAACTCACAGGCTAATTGAGCAAAGTATCCAAATGTTTGGATTCTTGGATTATTTCCTGATGTTTGAGAATAACTACCAGTGGAATCACATGTACAGTTAAGGGAGGTAAAAATTTTATTTGCATAGATGTTCATTAATGACCTTTGGGAACAATATAGTGAAAAGAATCTAAAAAAGATCCTTTTCTCAAAAGTAAAAGCTCAGACATTTAGTGTTGGGTCCTAGCCTCAGAACAGTAATCAGAAGGATAATTTCACGCCTGCACTTCCTGACGCGTGAATATCAATAAAATCAAATAAAATAAGGAATAAAAACCTGGGATCTTAAGGTCTTGCAGGCTCCTGAATGAGAATCCTATCTTATCCTATCCTCAGTGTAAGAAGCCTTGGATGCTCAACCATCTGTGGGTATTTCTATTTTTAAATTGTAACATAATGGTCTAAAGGACCAGTGTGCAGGATTTAGTGGCATCTAGCAGTGAAGTTGCAGATAGCAATTAACTGAACACCGCTCGTGTCTGTAATTGACGACCTGGGCATGAGAATGGTGAAGTTGTGTAATAGTGTGTTACTCCTATCTATAGCCAGTGTTTGGTTTGCCCGGGCTAATCATAGCGGTTGAACATGGCGGACTGCATGGAAGGCGACCTGCAGCATCAATAGATCCTCCTAAATGTTACACACTGGACTTTTTAAATATAGCTATTGATGAGCTAGACCTAGCTAGATCATAATGTCAAGTTTTGGAGAAGCCCTCACAGTGAACAGAGATTTAGGTTCTTTGCATGTCTCGTGTATGAGTTTTTATTGAAGCCAGTGTCATGCCTGTAGTGATGACAATATTCAGACATTAACAGTGCCCAGGGGATAAATCCTAAGGACTTTAGTGATCCCCAGACTTTTCCAGTAGCACCACCAGCAGGTCAAAATTCTAGCTCATCCAGTTATATACAGTTTATACGGTTTCCTAGACAATGTCTCCTGATGACTTTGTTGATCCAACTGTTACTTTAGCGCCACAATGAGGTTGACAATTTTATTTTGTCCAGTACTTTGGTTTATGACCAAATACCTGCAAAACTAACAACATTCCCATCAGCCTCAGCTAGTTTGTGTTTAGTGCTAAATAACAAACGTTAACAAGTGACACGTGCTAGCATTTAGCTCAAAGCACCACTGTGCCCAAGTACAACCTCACAGAGATGCTAGGATAGCTGTAGACTATTGTTTCATCTATACCTATGCTTCAGAGCACGTCATCAGTGGTAATGCCAAAGAGATAAAGACTTGACCTGCTCAGATTTATCTTGCTGGCCCAGGAATTGAACTGCCAAGCTTCCAGTATGCTTCTCAAAACCAAACCCAAAATACACGTTACTGCAAAGAGCCAGGACAGCACCACCTGCAACCACTAGATCTTCACCTTTGACTGGGACTTGAACCTGTGACTAGGATTCTCTGCCAGCTGGGCAAACACTTAACACAAGTTACTGTTGATAAGATAAGGTGGATACAAATGGAAATATATTTGTGTTGCCAAGTCATTCCCTGACAACGTAACATCTCAACTGCCTATGTCAGATGTTGCTAAATTGCCAGGAAAACAAGCAACAAACCCGTTAGCTCATGACAGTTTGCTGCCATCGGTGAAGAGACAGAAAGAAAAGCAGAGGAGGTAGAGTGGATGGGAGATGAGACCTCGTCCTTCCTCCTCATCTGAAAACAATAAGACAACAAGAGAGCAGGAATTAAAAGACTAGAGCCGTCTAATCTGGAACAACAGAGGAATGTCAGGGAGATGCCACAGCACCCTTTTATCCCAGATGTGCGCTATTAGGTCCACGGGCCCGATCTCTGCGCCAGACCCTGCTGGATCGGATTTCTTCCTCTGCTAATGCCACCGGACATACGATCTGACAATGATAATGATAATTACTTCAAATGACATGCCTTCCATTGTGGAATAAGTGGAAAGCACACAGGCAGGCACACAAACACTGAAACGAGACAATATTTGCAGAGCTTTAAAGAGAAATTACTGTTGGCTTTCTCACCAATTTGGAAAAAGAAAAAAAAACACAGCTCTGTACATTCCTCCGCACTATTTCAATGTTTCACAGCTTCTTGCGCTGTTTGTGTAAGAGAAAGAAAATATGGAACAATCAAAAGGTCACAACAACAACTTGGTTTTGGAGGGAAAACAGAAACCGCTGCCAAGTGTAGTTTTTAATGTTTTGGAATATCTGTATGAAGTTCATCATTAATTTAATTCAGAGTTAAAAACAAGAGCCAGACACTGTCTCAAAATACAATAGTTCTATTGCTGATGAGGGCATGAAAGAATAAGAGGCTACATAATCTGTGTGTTTGTTCTTTCAATACAATTTTAACCAGTATTGACAGCATTTCCACAACACAGAGCTTTCAAAAATATTTTTTTGCAGTTGCAGTCTATTTTCAGGATCCTTTGGACCGCCAGAAACACAGAACACATGATTAGCATGACACCCTGGACATGATTACACTAACTAACTATCTCTGTGAGTTACACCAAATCTGGATATCCATGGATGGAAGCAACATAAAAGCATAAACCTCTGATGGAGCTAAGGAGGTGTGATGTTTTAAGATATTATCTCGCAGTGGACCAGCCAACATAAAGAAATTCAAGTCCTTTTTTAGCCACGGGGAGCTGAGCAAGGTGGCCATACAAGAGTCTTATCGCTCTCCTCATCTACTTGCTCCCTTCTCTTCTGTAACTTTTTTTCCGGGGCTCAGGATTGAAAGCCTCAGTAAGTTTCTGCACCTTTGAGGATGTTTGCACAGTAAACTCTAATGATGCAAACAGCAATATCAATCAATTCCTAGTTTGATTTTAAAATAGTGTGATTTGTATCCTCTACTGTAACTCACAACTATTCTTGTACGTAACGCTGCTTTTAAATTTTTCTCCATAATATTTGGTCACAAAAATCTCTTGGAATTGACCCCATATAGGATTTCTTACTTTTTAATTTTAATAAAACAGATAAACATTTTTGAAGCGGTTTCCTCCCCGCAGCCTTTTACTTGTTCCACTGCATGCTGTCATCCGAAACTCTGGGTCGTACCATGTTTGTGTCATATTTCATTTGCCATAAACAAATGTTCCTAAACAGTGTCATAGTGATTCAAACACAAAATCGCAACCAAAACATGTGAACTGTACATGTCCCGAGTGTTCCCTGCCAGCGGCTGAGAATAATGGATCAACAGCCATGAGTCTGTCAACAGCACTACAACGTTTCAGCAAGTGCCCAAAGACAGCATGATTATGTCCAAGTTAAAAAAGTCTCCTAGCAGCTGTAGCAATTATAATGTGAGCAAAGGAAGAAGTCAGGTGACGTTATTACAGATTGGGGTAGATGGATAAGTAAATAAAAAGTCGGACTTTAACATGCTACGCCGCTGTTTGTTTCCCATTTACTACCCTGAGTCAGTTTTGGTTTATTTTAACCATGACCACAATTGTTCCCTAATGTCAACCGAGTGGTTATTATTGTAACCATGACGATGAAATAATAATTTGAACCCAAAACATGTTTACGTAAACCTATCAAAGTTGTTTTTGTGCCTAAACTTCTCAAATTTGAACCATAACCACAATGTGGCAGTAGCTCAGTCCGTAGGGAGGGTGTCCACTTCAAGTCCAGCACAACAAAGTTTGGAGTGTGGATTGGTTGCTGGTGAGGTGCCAGTTCACCTCCTGGGCTCTGCCTCGGTGCCCTTGTGCAAGGCACCAAACTGCTCCCTGGGCAACACTACTTGGCAGCCCTTCACGCCCCCATCTCTCCACATTTGCATTTGTACAAGCTCTGTGTGTGTGATTGTATTTTGGGGCTGTGTGTGTAAAAAGTACAGTGAAAAAAGAATTTCCCCATTGTGGATTAATAAAATAAATCTATCTCATAAAACTGATTTATCTTTCAACAACGGAAGGCACAGATAAATTGTGTCATCCTGCTTAAGTTAAAAAATGTCAGTAACTTTAGCCTCATCCAAGACCATTCAGAGTGACAACAACGTTACAGCAGGATGTTATCCACACAGAGTGCATTCTGTGGTTTATTAGGCCTACATCACCAAGAATCACAGCCCTGTGAACGTTCGTCTGCAGCAAACCAGAAATCACAAAAATTAAGCAAGTTTCCTTCGGCTTTTTTCATGAAAGGAGAAAACTGTTAACGTCAGCCTACGAGTATTAATTAGAAGTAGCACATGTTGGAATTTTTTTATAGGGTCCAAACTCTCCCACTTGGCATTATAAATTGCACAAGTGAGTCAACACAGCACATAACACCAGACCAAACAATGCAGGGAATCCACAGATGTTGGCAGTCCAATGTAATAAATCAACTGAAATAATCAGTGATATTGCTGTACTCATTAAAAACAGGCAAGTTCTGCTGCAGTTTGTTTGTGGTTGATTCAAAAAGTATATATAATGACAACATCTTTCTGCACCTGCAATCTCCATCCATATCCCCCACTCCTTCCCTCTCACCTGTAGGACATTTTTTCTTCATCCTGCACCTCTGTGTCTCGCTGCTGTAGGATGGGCAAAGTGATGTTGCGTTCTCTTCAGGCGTTCTGCCGGACTGCCCAGCCCCCCGGGTCCTGGTCTGCTTGCCCCACCGGAAGCCACAGTTGACACCGTCACGGAGACAGGCGCTCCAGTCGCTCCACTCTCCCAATGGAGCCTGGAGACAGTTCTCTAAGAGAAGAGATGGACTGATTAAAAGATATCTCAACGTCAGAAACAAAAAGAAAATTGGGATTATAGAAGCCAAGTACTTAACCAGTTACACATGTGATGGATCCAGGGAGCCTTAAGGTGCTCTTAAAGATGAAAAAATGGTCAAAGAAAAGATAAGTTCTTTTAAGTGAAGAAGCAGTGAGGTTCAGAGGTTTGTAACCATTATATGCTTGACTAAATAAAGACTTTTAACATTAAGTTTGACTTTCTCAGCCTAATTGAAGAAATTCGAAGACTGAGATAATGAATTAAGATAAATTAATAAATTACAACCACAACCCATGCAGTGCTAACAATATATGAAGACTAATGTTTTCTTCAGACCTCTGGCAACCACACTGTTATCATTGAAGACAGATGAATGCCAGCTGAAGCATTAAGCACACGGGACATTACGCTTGTAGTGACTGGTTGCTGATGAGTGATGTCATCCATAAAGTCAGTCAACGCAAATTTTTCCACAAGGTCCGCAACGGAAAAACCAGCAACCTCGGCCAAGATGGGACAACATTTCTTGGTAATCATCATTATCATTGTCAGATTTTGAGTATAAAATGAATAGATTTCCAGTGACCCTTTTCTGGAGTTGCTTGAGGTGTGTACCAACAGTCAGACATGAAACCTTAACATCACCATGAAAACCAGATGTGGTCACGCTGCCAAGAAACAACAGTAGCTGCAGATGGTGCAGGTGGACAGCAGAGGGGGAATCTGGAGTCCTGAACAGCACCGAATGATGAGTGAGCTCAACAATATATCTCACTTACTTAGAAGGGTGGGATGATACACAACAAGATATAAAGATAAATTCTAAAAGTTCTCTGAAGACTTTTAACGTAAATCGTGTGTTGTGTTCAAAGTTTGGCTCCATATCAGAAAAGGTTTGTCTGGGAAATAGATGAAGAGAAAAAAATATAGTAGATGAGTGTTCATCAGAACCAGAAGGAGATACAAATCAGGTATCAGAAGAAAATATTGAATATGTCAGGACAAAATGTCCCCAAAAAAGGTAGAATTTGTAGCTTGAACGTACCACTGAGCTGTCAGCAGGATATCATGTGATAAAAAGTTTACTGACTATAATAATTTCACTTCCTTAACACTTATCAGATCCACCTGAAAGGGTTTAAACATTATTTCAAGGTTTGTTTTCCTTTTTCATGGTCTTCATTCAAACAAATTGTACTTTACTTAAACAGGTGGATTCAAATCTGTTTAAGGTAAGATAAAAAACCCACAAACCATAACCAATGAAATACTCATCCACACAGGAAACACTGCAGAGAAATGGCCACAGACAAAAGGAAAGGTGTTTTCAGGAACATGTCTGCTGTTGATTAAAGGTTTTATATGTGAGATTTAGAACATTAATATAGCAGTAAACAGCTATCGCTATATAAAGATATAGCCACACATGTGGATGTGAGTCTTTCCCTATAAAACTGTTGGCTTTGAAGAGGCTCCTTATTTTCTCATCTGTGACTGTGAATTAGGGATTTAGAGAGAGAGTTGGTGATTGTTGGAACACTGGAAATATTGTTTTGCAATGTTATATTTTGTGTCTGTCCAGTCTGAATGAAGTGTGTAGCAATGACCGAGGTAAAATTACTGTTTTTATCAATAGAGTCTGGTGGCAAGTGATAGCGATATAGGTTACGGGCTGTTTCTGGTTAAACAAAAAGGATCTCGCTCTATAATAAAAAGGTCTGTGTCAGTAGGGATCCTGTCCAAATTGTAGACAGACACTGCACTTTTAGTGGACGTACTTTGATGGGCGCATTTGTTACAAAGGGTTACGTTGCAGCCATTGCAGCCTATAATGCGGCTGATTATGGACCCACGCAGTAAATTAAAGATTTATTTCCAAACCAGAGTTGGAAAAGTCGTGTACAGTACCTTTATGTCTCTCATAAACACACTTTTAGTCAGTGCCTGAATTGGACCAGAAAGGTACCAGTACCCTAATGCAGCACAACCTCAGTGGTGGGTACGGCCAGGCTCACCAAAAGGTGGCGGTACTCAATTAGAAGTAAGGATACTCATGTGGACAAAAGTCATTTCAGGCACTGCTTTTAGTTCACCTTCATAACAGAAAGCAACTTGAAACAGCAGTTTAAATAGGATACATGTCGCATGTTTAAATTCACACTAGAATTTTGGTTTCGACTTTCTCCTGGGGAACATGAAGTTTATATGGAACACATAGAAATCTGGTTATTAATCTCCCAGTACACATGATTATTAATCTTCCGGTATACATGATTTTAACGTTATCCAGGCTTCTAACAGTACGTGTGCAGACATATATTTGGCCTTCACATGCAGCAGCAGTGTCTGTACAGACTGAGTTACCTCATCAAGTCAAGATGAGCATAGTGTTGTTTTCGGCTGAATTCACTACTCTGATGTGGTTTCTACATCTGATGTAGTTGTATGGAATTTGTTAGTGTCAGACTTCACCTTTTTTCATGTAGTCCACCATTACATCATTTATCATCATAATTCTTTGGTTAGGGTGCATCTGCACACATGGCAGACAGTGAGGTGTTTATACATGCTGCAGGATCCCAGTTTTTGTTTCATTTATTAGCATTTTCTGCTTAATCAAAACTGGTATAAGGGCCTATTCTTGTGTTTTTTAAAATGAGGATATGATGTTTACAGTGAACACAAAAAGGATGCCCCAAAACTCTGATAGCCATAATGTTAGTGTGCCTGTGAGCACACAGAGTAAGACACGTGGGTAACCTTTAATGGATAAGGCTAGTTTCATTCTGTATTTTTCTTATTGTCAACAGATCACATGAGAAGACCCAAACCCACAGTTCCTCTCTCAATACTTTCTGACTTCCTTTTAATTGCTGTTGCTTTCTGATAAGACTCATAGTTGATTAAAGTTCTTCAGATATGAAATAGTTGAAGTGTGTTTACTTACCGAGGCAGTCGGTCTGGTGGGCGAAGGTTCCCTCTGGGCAGTGGGTCAGACACTTGCCTTTGTGCAGCTGGAACTCAGGCTTACACTTGGTGCAAAAGTCCCGGCTGAAACAGTGCTCACAGTCCAAAGAGCGGCACTCTGGGAGGAGGGAGACCATCACACATCCGGTCAATAAACACTTCATTCTGGAGGAAACCGCAGTCTCTTTTTCAGCCTGATTTTCACTTTAGTCATGATGGTGAGATACAGGTGGGCAGAACAGACAGGAAATATGGAGCTGTTAAAACAATCCAGATGGTCCAGATTGTGCAGGGAGGAAAATGCTGCAGAAACCACGGGTCAAAAAGAAAGGCCACATGAAATGGCATCTTTACTTCCTTAATGGGATGTATTTCCTGTTTAAACAGGATGTAGGGGTGGGACATTAGAGTGCGAGATATTTTATAATATATAAAACTGAAAGGATGTCAGTTTAAGGATGAGAGGTAGTATGGTTTAATATATTTATTGGTAGGAAGTTGGAAATAGTTGCTTTAACTTAACCAGACTCAAATTATCATATAATATATGACTATATCCATTATATTATTAAATATTTGTTTCCACTGTCTGAGCTGTTGACCTTCATGCATTACCTTGATTACTTGCCCCCATTAGCGTTCTATTTAAGTCACTGCAGCATGTTGTTTTGTGTACCTGGATATAAACAGAGTCTAAACTACACCCATCTGGCAAAAACTGGCACTGTGCTGGTATGGTTTTCCAGGAAGGTAAAGTTTTAAAAGCATCTTAAATGAGTGTGAATGCAGCCTTTCTGGTAAAGGGTTTGACCAATCAGAATGGTTCCTGGTATATTTCTAAGAGCAGGTCAGGTCAGAAAAGATTTTAATGTTGTTTTCAGGTGGAAGGGTGCCAGTAGTGATGGGTTAGTATGCAGTCTGGAATAGAGAAACTTCTTGTTTTTTTCCCCTTTCATTGGCACAGTATGTTTCTGGAATGAATTAAGCAAGGTGCATCTCAATAAAGGAACTTGTCCAAATGTGTAAACGGTGTGTTGTTAGTGAAACTATTTTCATCTGACAAAATAAAATCCCCTCCTACACTAGTTCAGGCCTCAAGACAAATGAGTCATGTGTGCTAATGTGAGTGAGATTCAATATCAGCAAAGACTTTATGTATTTAGTCAGAGAGATCTCTGCAGGTGAAACAACCCTTTTAGTTAAAACGTACTCATGCAGCGGTTGATGTCCTTCCCTCTCTGTCCGTAGTGTCCATTGGGGCAGGCGTGGACACAAGTTCCATGGTGAGATATCCCCTCCCTCTGCAGGAACAGGAAGAGTCGCTCGGGGCAACGCACACAGCCGTTGTCACGGGAACACTCCAGACAGCTCCGACAGTCCTCTGATGTCTCTCTTTGAGCTGCAGGAGACAACGGAGGGTGGATCAGAACAGGAGAAAGTCCAGTTAAATAGAAGAGGAATTAAAACAAAATTAGAGCAGGGTAAGAAAGAAAGAGAAATAGAGTGAGAGCAGGGGAGGAGGAGAGGATCAAGAAGGAAAAGAGACGCCACAAATCCTCAAGATACAGAGAGAATTTCTGGACTCCATGAAAAATCCACCACTGAGCTCCTTGAAATACAGATCTGTAGATCCTGCGGGCAGGAAGACATTCACATGTAGCCACAGTGGATCCCACTTTAAACACTACAGCCAGTTATTCTCTGCACATTCAAGAAAGTAAAAGCAAATCAAATGCAAATCTTGAATGACTTGAAATGACATAATCATGATTATTTTACAAATTAGATTCATTATCATCTGTGTAACAGCAGGTGTCACTTTAATTAAAAAGGTGTAATGTGAAGTTAATAGTGCTTTTAAAAATGTTGATGCAAGTCATTTTATTTTATTCATTTTTTTGAAATATGCAGACAAATAGTTTGCTTCTGCCTTGTAAAGAGAATCGTTACACAACTTTGACCTTTGATACTATAAATGATGAACCTCAATTTATTTATTATTTGGAAAGTTAATTTTCTATTCTATTAAAATTAAGGCAGGTAAGTATATTTCAAATGTCTTCTTTCACGCTGTCAAATAAGAAGCAATCTTCAGCAATCTTCAGCAATTTTCAGCACCTTTGTTTTGTATGTGCACACATGTATTTAATGTAATTGAAGACTTTCAGCCAAAACAAAATGTCCTCCATTGGAAAAGAAAAATCTGGTAACAGATCATGATGAAAAATGACATTATTGGTATCTTTTGAAACTTGGAGTCATCTAATAATATAATACAGAAAAACAACAACAGTGCTGCTGCATGTGCTAACTGTGTGAGCCACAGATAAATGAGTCACTGCTACTAGCTTGTTAGTGGTTCTATTAGCTGACTGTAGCTGAACTGCGAGCTCAAAGTACCAGGGAGGTTGGTTTACACCTTCGGACTGCTACGAGGAGGAGGGGAGCAGGGTGGAATGAGCAACATAGCCAGAGTGGGACAAGACATCTGCCTCCCAGTAACCACGGCTGGGACCAAACAAAATCTTTAGTCGGGAACACCCCTTCATGATACTCAGTATACAGCAGTGGTTCTGAATTTTTTCCCTCCTTCAGAAGCCCCCCTGCTGTGGCTCTATGTCCCACCAGTGGTGCCAAGTTTGAGAGACTGGCATACAGTATATAGGGAATAGTATGCACAGTAGGCTATGCTGCTGACTCTTGTAAGTCTTTTGCTTCTGTACCTTGTGTGTCATGTTTTTTCATTATTTTTTCTTTACATAAAAACCCATCAAACATACTGAGAAGAATAAAACATGAAAAAAATAAAAACTACTTATTTCTTCTGGCACACGGAGTGAGTTCAGTCCTGACAAGGTTTGTGCTCACTGACGATGGATTTCACATGTCTTGGTACCATGACAGTTCGGCTTATGTCTAAGCCAAAGTAAGTCTTATTATATTATAACAGCGAGCAGCGATGTCTGCTCCCAGATACACAGACAAAGTAGGAATGCTTCCAATCCGATGGGGATAAGCAGGGATACGGAAAGACGGGCAAGGTGGGATGGAAAGATGGATGGAATGAAGTAAAGAGGGATGGAAAGACAGGCTGAATCTACTGTCGAGATGAAGGGCAGGCAGTGAGTGTGCGTGAGCCTGAACAATCGCAGTCTGATCACAAAAATACCTGTGGCTGACTGCCGCCGTCCTTGCTGAGTGTGTCTATAACAACGTTTGTATGTGTGTGTGTGTGTACATGGGCAGCTGAAAAAATGTACACTTGAAAAATGCTAAACGTTTAACCAGGTCACTGATAGAGGTCAGTGAAGGTCACAATTCATGCAACTTTACAGCCTCTGTTTTTATATCGTTATATTCGCCTCTTTGCTTACTGAAGGCAGGTTATTAATGAATCCTCAGCATTCTGATCCATCTCAGTAAAAACTATATGAATATATGTAAAAAGAAAATAAAATGTAAATATGTATCAAATGCAAGGAGAACATGCTTTCAAATAACAAGACACACCTAAAAGTAAAGCATATTTTGTTATTTTGTAAAATTGAAGGGAAAATGTAGAAAAGTCCCCACAGAAATGATTCATAAGACATCTCAGCCTGACTCTGTGCTGTCTGTTCTGCAGTGTGCAAATAAAATAGATACAAAGGAACATAGACTGCTCTGCTATTTGTGTGCTGCTGCTGCAGGCGGACCTGCTGACAGCCCTTCAGACTGTGGAAGAATCTCATGCATCATGTCTGACTGTATAAATATAATAATAATATAATACAGTGATGAAAAAATACTTTGCACACTCACAACAAGGCGGTGAAGAGCCCTTTAACCAAGCACTTAACCCCAGTGACTTTTGTTTAGCAGCTCATTGGCACAGATGCGTTTTTTCTGGCAGTCAAATGAAAGGATTTGTGATATCTGTAGAACTGACAAAGACGTTCTAGAGCTGCCATTTTGCAGAGGATTAATCATACATAGAGAAATCCATCATGGAAGAGGCAGAAAAAGTAGTTTCTTGATCAACAGACATGTGAATAGACCAGAATAAAATGCAACACAGCTGCAAGCCATTCTCCCCAAATGCACTTTTGGCTGTCAAATGACAAGTTGGGAAGTGTGTATTATAGTATATGTAATAGTATTATATGTGGGAAATAACAAGTTTAAGTAAAGTCAGTCATTAGCAGTGGAAGTACTCAGATCAATTACTTAAGTTAAAATTGCAGCACTACCATGCAGTGGTGCACCAGCCTCTATTAAAAAAAGTACTATTTAAAGTATATATTTTTTAGGATTTAAAAGTAAAAGCACAATAGTATTAGCACAATTCCCATACAGACGCACACGGAACCCTTCAGCGCTTGTGGCATGAAACGGTCGCAGTTTGGTTCGGCTTAGGCACCAAAACTACCTGGTTAGGTTTAGGAAAAGATAGTGGTTTGGGTTAAAATAACTCACATGTAAAGTAACTTATGTAACTTAGAACTAACAATAACTCAACGTTTACTTATGTCTCTTGGCTGAAAGTGTTTGTGTCTCATACAGATATTAAAGGGTATCCTGTGACTCTCTATGAGATGCCAAGGGGCGGATTATAATTATTGATGCATTATTGTGATTATCCATTTAATGTTGCAGCCTGTAAGCCCGTGGAGCCATTTTTAATGACTTTATATACCTTTATTAGGGACAGGCGTTTAATTCCTTTAGCACAAAACTCTTGCTCAGCACAGATGGAAATACTACTGTCATATAACTGTGCTGCTTCTCTTCAGTTTTGTTTAGCAAATTTGACAACAAAAAGCTTACGGTAAATTTCAGGTTGTACTTTTTTCTCTGTGCCACCGCCATGACACCTGAAAATTTACGGCAGCCAGCATACAGACAGTGAGCAACGGACTTAACATGACAACATTCACAACTCAGAAACCCTTTGATTCTTTTGATCGGTGGACCCTGACGGACTAAAGGAATATAAATAATGGAGGAATGGACACAGACAGACAGTTTTTTCCCCGTCTTTTCAAGCCATTAGGTCAGAATGAATTATACTACTGTTCATAGTTTCCGTAAAATGAACTGAACAATTGAATTGTGGAGGATCTAACTGATCTAACGATGCGCAGCATCCATATTGACAAAAGTTTAAACATTTATATTTGTGGAGGCGATTTTAAGCAGCTTAAAACTCGCTCAAGCAGGCGACCCGGTGGGTTTTAAGAGGTTTTATACATATAGATAATTTCTATAAAGTCCAGACTAGGCCTCTATTGGAGACCTGCGTTTATTTGTGAAAACATGTAGCCACACCAGGCTTTTGAAGGAGACCTGCATCTATTTGGGACCCTGCTTTTATTGGAAGTTTTATGGTAATAATCAATAATAATTTATCTGTTGATAATATTTTGCATTCATAATTTAAATCTTTAAGTAAGTAAGTTACTAAATTTATCAAAACAATTTATTGAAGTAAAAACTATAATATTTACTCTAATAAAGTAATATAAAATGGAAATACTCAAGTACCTCAAAATTGTAAATGTACTTTTTTTCCACCACTGGTATTTAGACTGTAGTTTCTTGGGTTCTTTATGAATTCACCCGAATAACTTCCTGTGAATGATTACACTGGATGAGGATGAATAGATGAACACCTGTGAATGAAAAAATCTCACAGACCAATTACAGACTACAAAGATGGAATATTCCTCAGACTTGCTGGATTTCCTACTAGAGATGGAGACTGTCCAGTAACAGGTGAGTGAAAGATAAGAATCCTCCACAGTCAATTTGTCCATCAACAGTATGAGTCCTGTAGAATTAGAATGAGAAAGATACTGCTAAATCCCCTACATGTACCTCCAGCATTAGCTAAATGCACCACATCGGGTCAGACGGAGGTTGAACTTAAACCTTAACTGGTTTAATGTCATCATTAATCATAAGTTCAGCACAAGGTCAGACTATACAGCTAAGATCATGTCATTCATTTCTAAAATAAATCTTTTACCATATGTTTGTTTAAAGGCAAGCTATAATTAAAGTTATCTAATTGTGTAATTACAATTAAAGGTGGCACTTCTTCCTCAGTTCATGTTTGATGCCAGAAACAGAGTTAATGATCAGTTAATTAACTGACAAACATAACAACTGGTTGTTAATGAATGCACCACCACAAGTCCAGTCCTACAAGGAGTACATGAAGCCAGTACGGCTAAGCTGTAGCTGCAGTTCAGCTGAACCTGGTTCAACTAGTACGCAGCTGCATTTTCAACCTCTGACACTTACAATTAAGCTGTAAATATATATAAACCACAGCTGAACCATTCAGATGCTAAGTAAGCAGCTTTCGAACATGGGCAGCATTGTCGGCCAGTTATGACATATTCAGTCTGGAGTCCA